AACCCTCTGGCAGGAAGGGGTTTTGTTCCTTGTCATGGTCTTTGCCCAGTGTGTCCCTGTGGACAGTGCCAGGCTGGGGTCAGGCACAGGCAGCTGCCAGTACTCTCTAATCCACAGACAATTCTGGGCTCCTGGGCAAACTGCCTCTGGAGGGTTCAGGGGTCTGGTGGGTTGTTTATGGCTGATCCTGACCAGCCCAGGCCAACCCCAACCAGCCCTCCATCGCTGCTTCATCCCACACCTGGGGGGGAATATTGATATCATGTGGAAATACTCCCCTTCCTTTGCTACTCCGTCCTTCCTTATGCATCCGCGGAGCAGATTTGCTCCACCCTTTAAAGGTTCCCAACAACAGCTCTCCAGCCCGAATCCCAGCTCCCACAGACACAAACTAAACACACCCACGGCAACGGTTCCATCAGCACCCGGAATTCCGAGCTCCCCGATCCCTGGAACGCTCATCCCAACACTCCAGGCAATCTCACCTCAGCCCACATGCTCTCCGTCCTCAGAGGGAACACACCTCTGGCACTGCCTTTCCTTTCATCCCTGCTCTCCTGCAAACCTCCAGGGAAATTCAATCCCTCAGACCCTGCATTCCTGGGCACGAGGGGAACTGGAGTTTGAGCGGATCCCAGCGCCCTGGACGAGCGTGTTCCCACGAGCACGAGCCCGTGGCTCCATCCAGCCCATCCAGCCCCCCTTTCCCTCCAGGGAGTCCAAACCCTCCCCCAGCTCCCCCGCGTCTGTGCCACGGCCCAGCCCAGCTCCAGCCCTGGCAGAGCTGCAAACACCTCCCGGGCTCCTGAACCCCCAAACCAATGCTCAGGCTCACCCACGGGAACCCACCTGCCCCTCTCAGCACAGCCCGACCCCACAGCTCTGGGACCCCACCGGCACCCGGCCCTTCGGCCCTGCCTCTCCACCCTTCCCAGCACACGCGGCAAGGACCAGCCCGCAGTGGGAAAAAGAGCCCTTCCTTGCCCAGGGAGCAAATGCCAACAGGCAGGAGAAGGGAAACGTGTCCCCCCGACTCACGCCACCCCACGGGCGCCCCGCCGGGCCCCGCTCACGCCGGGGACGATCTCCCGGAGAGCCTGAAGCTGTACCTGCCGCGGCGTGCGGCTCTCAGGGGAGATCCCGGCGGCGCAGACCCGACAGCATCTCCGGGGCATGGCGGGACCGAGCGGGGCGGGGCTGGGCGGGGCGGGGCGGGAGCGGAGCGGAGTCCCCGCCCGGGGCTGCCCGCGCCGGCGCTGCCGCCGCCCATGAGCCGCCGAGTGGCCCGCCCCGTCCCCACGGCGGGAAGCACCGCGGCGAGACGGGCTGCGAGTGCGGGGCGGGGGTCGGGGCGGAGGGGAGGTCAGGTGATGGGAGAGATGCCTCTCTGAGGTGGGGCTGGGGGGAGGGTGGGGTTGGCGCCGCCATCTTTGCTGTGGGTTTTGAAAACTTCCGGTCAGGGCGGTGCCAGCTTTAGTGGCACCAGTCCGGGTTTTCCCCCATTCCGTACTCCGGGAGAAATCCAGTCCGGGTTTTCCCCCATTCCGTACCCCGGGAGAAATCCAGTCCGGGTTTCCCTCCATTCCGTACTCCGGGAGAAATCCAGTCCGGGTTTTCCCCCATTC